ATATTTTTTTAAATAATTATTCATAATGTTTTAAAATATTAATATATATTATTGATTTAAATCTGTTAATTAATATTATGCTTTGTTAATCATTGCGCACATGTCAACAAACATACATAACACTACAAGAATTTCAGGATTTACCTGCACTTTATTGCAGGCGCTCACTATGTGTGCTGGAAATCCTAAACCTAGGGTAGAATGCTTTTTGGGCGTTTTATTTATGCATTTGGAAGTGTTATTCATTACCAGCAATAAAAACCAACATTTAACTCCTCATCTTATAAAATTGATAAATTTTAGTTTCTCATTTTATAAAATTGGTAAGTTTTAACCATTTACCTTATATTATGATATTTTTTGTCTATCAACAATACAAATTAAAAAAAATAACCTCACCTAACATCAGGTTATAACGTTCTATTAGTTTTGTTAATTAACTGTTAATATTTGTTAGTATTCCGTTATAAAAAATATGAAATTTAAATTTAATTTTATTTGTTAGTTTCATTAATGGATACTAACAGTCAATTAACAGAATTAACAGTCAGGTAATAAAACTGACAGTCAGCTAACAGAACTGATAGTCAACTAATAAAACTAATAGAATATTAAAACCTGATATTAAATAAGGGCTATCTTCTTTAATTCATACAGATAAGGGGTTAAAAGTGTCATAATATAAGGTGAGGGGCTAACACGTACCAACTTTGTAACGTGAGAGGTTAAATCTACTAACTTTATATGGTAAAGGATTAAGAGTTTCATATTATAAGTTTAACAGTTAAAATCTATTAATTTTATAAGATGATGGGCTAAATATTGATGTTAACCCATTACCGGCACCTGAAAAGCGCCCGTATATTAAAAAAAAAAGGGAAAAAGAAACAGGACATATAGTTAGAATCCCCCAAAACCAAGTCCCGGCGTTATTTATTTTCCCAAAACCCCGCGCTTTTTCCCTTCATTACCTCGTCTCCTTCCAGTCTCTCGTTCTTTTCTACTTCAGTATTCTCCCTTTCGCTCTTTTCATTTTCAAAACTTTTGTTTCATTTCCAGAGTCTCTCCACTGGCTAAGCAGAAACCCTAAACCAATTGCAGTCGGTAAGCTTCAAATCTCTCCATTAGGTCGTCGTCTCTTCAATTTTGATTTTGATTTCTCTTGAAACCTGATATTCATTTTGATTTTGATTTCTCAGATTTTGATTTCGCGTTATCCTTTGTGTCTTCTCCTTTGAATCTCATCAAGTACTCAAGGTTTGTGTCTTCTTCTTAGATTTCTCAAAATCCCCTGTTTATGATTCTCTTACCACGACCATGAATAACGAATAGTAAGCTTCGTTTATCCTCCAATCTTTCGATTGCGATTGAATTTTCGATTTGTTTACCTCGAATTTACGTTAAGCAACGGTGTTTTCTTTTGAATCTTTGCGGATCTGTTTCGGT